ATCGGGGGATGGGCGCAACTATCTTCACAGTCCTAAGGCTGCGTTTATACTTTGCGGCAGCGTAGCGTAGCGTAGCGCAGCGTAGCGTAGCGCTTCCAGCGTACGCCAGCGGCAGTGCCGAAGAGAGGATGCATATCGATCTAGCTTCACCAGCGTCACCAGCGGCACGCTAGCGTACGCCAGCGTTTCTCCAGCGTTTCACCAGCGTTTTGCTAGCGTTTGCAGCGGCAGGGGAGTAGAGACTATGGGAGAGCTGGAGGGTACAAAACACATCGATTGCGCGTCTCTCACTCGCCCTTAGTCTCTACAATGCACATCGCTTCTGCGTCTCCGACGGCCACATAGTCTCTACAATGCACATCGCTTCTGCGTCTCCGACGGCCACATAGTCTCTACAATGCACATCGCTTCTGCGTCTCCGACGGCCACATAGTCTCTACAATGCACATCGCTTCTGCGTCTCCGACGGCCACATAGTCTCTACAATACACGTCGATTCCGCGTCTCTCACGGCCACATAGTCTCTACTCCCTGCCGCTGCAAGCGCTAGCAAAACGCTGGTGCCGCTGGAGAAACGCTGGAGAAACGCTGGCGTACGCTAGCGTGCCGCTGGTGACGCTGGTGAAGCTAGATCGATATGCATCCTCTCTTCGGCACTGCCGCTGGCGTACGCTGGAAGCGCTACGCTACGCTGCCGCAAAGTATAAACGCAGCCTACGCGGCGCGTACTGGAATGCAGCCAGGGCGCCCCTTTTTCCACCAATGATGCCATCCTGAGCCCGCTACAACTGGCGGGAAATCTGACTGTTTACGTTTCAAACCGCGTTATCGTTTACAAGCATTACAAGATAAAGAAAAAGAACTCACGTTGGTGACAATGTTGCTAAAACATGATGGAAGTTTCCTAATAAAATCCTTAAACTTTCTCTTAGCGCCTTGGTCGACCATTATGCAATAAACATTCTGAGGATGGTAGAAAATACTAAGTTCAAGCATCACCTAGAACTTCAAGTTTCTGCTTTCCTGCGACTTACCTGAGATAGTGTGCGATATAGAGCTCACATTTCACCATTTTCAACTTTGATACTAATTAAACCCAATCAGTGCCACGCTCGTTGCTGACAATTATCGCAAAGCTGGTTAAATTAGAACAGCTCTGTTGATCCTATTCACCGATAAAGCAAAGCCAAAACCCAGCGTCTTTATGAGACTTAGTGGGAACCTGTTTTCAGCGGCTATAGTGTCACCGTTCCCCGACAACCCCACGAAGAACTTGTCGTTCTTCCAAGAACGGTTCGTAGCACTTTTCAGCCTTCAGGAGTAAAACACATAGAGAAGGTACACATGAAGGAACGCTTTCAGGCTTCAGGTTGACCTCCCTTCGATTCTCGGAGCCATAACTTCAACACACTCAAGGCGGCGTGGCGCCTGGGAGTACATGCGAAGACTCCTCTTTCCACGTCCTCATCAAAACTCTCATCTTCACCATACTATTCCAGTCAACCTCAAAAAGTAGGACTCCACTTTATATGCAAAAAATAAGCTTCTGGAAAGAAAAAATGTAAAGGAATTTCAACAGAACGGCAAACGGTAGTGCGCCGGGAACGACAATCGGGAAGTTTTGGCGTTTGTCGTCCGTTAGTCGGGAAAGTTCACCCTTCACCACAAATCGCGCCAGTAGTGAGACTTCCTCACAAGCAGCGTCTTTGATGAAGGGAAGTAGGGAGTGTGTACTTTGGTACATCTGCGCCGCGGCATGCGCTTATTGTTAAGCTAACAGACTATTTCCTAGCTACATTGGCCTGTTGAATCGATTGGGTCCTGGCGCGAACACCGCGCAAGTGACACGGTTGCAACGACTTGATCGCCGCTCACACCGCAACTCGGATGCGCTGGGCTACATCCGAGACCGGTCACAACTCTCAGCGTGTAATCCATTTTTTCCCATTTGACAACCTCTTCGTTTCTAGTGCGGCTTAGACGCTGTTTTCGAATGAAAGTTGCTTGAAATTCTTTCTGTGAGACGTTCCGGCGCGTGAGTCTCGGATATGGATGGGTTTCTGATTTTATCGCATATGAAAGGACCAGCACATTGCTAACCTGCACAATATCTTTGTAAATAAGAAGACCATACGACAATGGATAGTTTGCCTCCTCCTGTGATAGCGGTGCATCTTCAAAGACAAAATACTTCCGAATAGTTGCACAACTGAATGCTACACATTCAATTTCGTGACTACAGTTCGTATACCCCCTATTAGGCTGGTCCATAATTCCCTGAACTCTTGGTACTTACTAACACTCGAACAACTCGAACATGTCTTGCAGTGTTCGCTAAAGTTCGCTTTTTCAAACAGCTATCCAATTCGTTTGCTCGATGCACTTTACTATTGCAACTTTGTTCTTTCGGAATCTTCTCCGGCGGCTTGTTTTTCTTGAGCTTTCATCTGGTACTCCTTACCGCAAGTTCACAAATGGGTTATGTATGTTCATCAGCCCTGCGAGTCGTACAACTGGGAGCCGCTCAAAGACAGTTCCCGCGATCAAGTGTAACAGGAAGCAGGTGCTCAGTAATGAACCAGTAGCCCATCAAAAACTCATCAGTAGAGAAAGAAGCGAAAAAAATTTTGGAACACCCTGAGCACAGACCCCTCCTAGCAGTGGGGCCGGCGCCTTGGACGAGTTCATCATGAGGACAAGCCCAATCAGCAGGATTCTAGGTGCAACCAATTCCCGGCAAGAGCATAGGAAATCGCCCTACGACGCTCCAGGCAACGCTATGTACACACGCAATCCGCTTGTAAGCCGTTGTCTTGCAGAGATACAGTACCCGGTTGCAAAACTCACGCGTCTCTAGCTTCGTTATCTCGCCACTTTCGAGTGACGAAAGTGGTATATTCTCTGCGAGTGCGGACAACGATGCCAAATGCACGGAGGCATTTTGCTGATCACTTTTAAACCGAGATAAGATGTGAGTTTGAAAGCGGCCGAAGTTCTTCCGAATTGTGGACCAGCCTAGTACATAATGTTGTACGAAATGAAGAGATGGATACTATTAGGTTGGCTAATAAGTAATGGCCGTTTTTTTCAATTGAAAAATTTGTTCGAAAAGTGAAACGTTTTGCAAGCAAGTTATATATCATCTGATAGGAAACTTCTCGTAGTATAAGAATATCAAAAAAGCTTTGGTTGAGGATATAGTTTTTGTGAATTTTTTAGTCGTTGAAGTTGGAAGTGAAGTCGGCGAAAATTAGCATCTTCGACAACTGCCTCTATTTAGAAATTTCATGCTAATAGTTGAATTAATTGAATTTGAATTTGATATTCTACGAGAAGTTTGCTATTAAACGATATTAAGCTTGCTTGCAAAACTTTTCACTTTTGAACAAATTTTTCAATTGAAAAAAACGGCCATTACTTATTAGCCAACCTAATGCAAGCGACTTATGAAACTGCTCACACGTCGTTGGAGTGAAGTAGCTCCTTTTCTATAGCTTTATATTGAAAACTCCAATACTTATACTTCTGAAAGGAACGTCCACCAGTAACCACTGCATTACAGTTTATATTAACAGATTCAATAATCGTCCCGGGGATATAGCTGAAAAGTGGTAGTTGCGAAGTCGTGTTTGGTATCCGACGATTTCATTTGGTTGGTCGAAAGTCCCGCGATTTTCGACTATTGTGGATAAAAATTGAACCACGTCCTCCCCGGACAAGTGCATGGAGTTCCCGTAGGTTCCTGCATGCCTAATGGTTTCGAGCAAGCTTACAAGCTTTGTTAGAGATCAGGTCTCCTTCGCAGTCTAAGGAATTTTTTCGATCCTTCTGTACTTTGTAATTTTACGCGGCTACTCTGCAGAAGTCGAGGGAGTAACAATATGTATTCGAGAAAGATGTGGTTCACCTTGTCACAGGATCTCATTGGTAACAGCGAAATATATACCATAGAATTGAAATTCTTGACACACTGTTCCCCTCTTGCTGAATTGAGATTGTAATCAAGTGTAACGGTAACTGTAATCGGTTTTTTATTGCATTTGCATCTTCATTTGCCTCTCCTCAGAGGCCAACACCCCTTCCCCCCTCCGCCCCTCTCCCCCCCGCCCGGTATGTAAATAACTCATGGCACTGTTTTACGACGCTGCCCGCAACAAAGACGTGATAAAAGCCATGCAAGTCGCTGTTGTGCACAATAATATTCCGCCCCCTTCCAAACGCTCACGAATCACATGTTCTTGGCGCCTCTACTTCACACATTTAAGTAATGGAAGTGGTCCACTCTCTGCGATTGTGGGCCCACCTACAAAATGCATGGAGGCAATCTACGGTACGGCTAGTCGCGAAAGGCGTCTTTAGTCACTCAGAAAACTCAACATCAGAGCAGCTTCAACGCCCGGGACAGTAGGTCAAAATGGGCGGAGATCTCATGCGTTGGTGCTGCCATGCTAGTTCCTTAAACCTGTCTTACGAAGGCAGATTCAAAGAGCGAGCATCGCTGAAGCTGCTTTGATGTTCTGAGTTTTCTGGGCAGGTCAAGTTTGCATCACAAAATTGAAGATTAGGTAATCCAACCCAGAAAAAAAGCGACTCTAGAGCGAGATCGATCTTTTCTTCCTATACCGGTCGCCGGATTCATGAAAAACCAGAATCTAAAATGTCAGGTGGACCGTCACGTGTCCTAGATAGGAACGTTGATTACCTCATTGATTGAAGGTCTCATTCAATAAAAGAATATCCACTTTGAAATTCCGTTCAAAAAGTCGCAGGACTTTCCGATTAACCCAATATTGTAATTACTGGTAAGAATCAAGAATAATAATTGCAGCAGAGTATCCTCACACATTGGAATATGAAGCTTTTTGTGCCAACACTCGAATCGAGATATACAGTACACAGACCATAAGCGAAAATAATGGTTTTTGCTTATTTGCAAATACTTTAAACTGCTGAAGTGATTTCGAAGCCATTTCCGGATCAAAATAACCATTGAATGTTTCGACTAGCACGCATTGAACCTGAAACGCTTGGATCAGTGACAAACTCACCAGAAATGCTGCATCCACGTGTTTTCTTCCATACGAGCCATGACAGCTTCCACCAAACTATTATGAGGAATGAAGGTGGAATGAAGGCCAACAGGTACAACGGATAAATACCACTGGTAGGACGAATACGACCCCCTTTCTCAATGGAGGAAATCCCCAACGCTGTGGATGACGCACGTGAAATAGGAAGAACCAACTATCAAAAAAAATTCTTGATCAACCCCCCCCCCCCCTCACTGCGGCAACTAATTCCACCTTCGCTGGGAATTCTCCAGCGCAGGACGTGCCCCCCTCAAACTGGGTTAGAGCTTCCAAATTGTAGGTCTATCCGGACAAACGCTCTAACACTCAGGGTTGACTCAAGAGGTAAAATTTCTACAAGTTCACAGAGAAAAGGAACTTTAACAGTAAGATTTCTACAAGACCACCGAAAAAAGGAATTTTAACTAAGAAACAAACCTTCTGCGTTTCCACCGGCGAAGGAACCCCTTTCTGTTCAGTGGACATTTATGGGCAAGTGCGACACCATCGACTGTCAAGCCGTAATTCATGCAATCGCCGAGCGTTGTAGGTGAGACTCTCCATGTTGCCCACTTGTCCTTTGTTGTTCACTGAACAGAAGGGGACGCCTCTGGCGAGTCAACAGTTGCTTGGGTTTTAATGAGATATTTTAGTTGAAGCTATCGAGAAGTGCAGGTACTGTAGTAGAGGGCGGCATAAGTCTCCGTTCAGATCGTCCAACTACGCTAGATTTTCACTGCTCGCCAAGATCATTGTATTATACAATGGCCTACTTTTACTGAATGAGGGAACTATGGAGTATTTACCTATCATTCTACAAGTTCTGCACTGCTGTCTACCGTGAAGTAATTTTTTTTTCAGAAGCCTTGTTTTGTGAAAGTTTCAGCGTCTATGAGTTATGCAATTAGAATGTTGTTTGGTGTAGTAGCATCCGCTGAAATGCAGTGATTCGGAAACTAAGTTGAGAAAGTTATCACAAGAATGCTGAGTTGTGGGCAAAAGTCGTGCCCCAGGCGGGAGTCGAACCCGCACCTCACGCTTTCCGGGCGAGTGCGCTATCCGTTACGCCACCAGGGCCGCTTTTACCCTCTCAGCTTATGCCGTAACCTTACAGCACTCACACGTTTAACTTGGTGAGCCGGTCAGCCGTAACCGTTAGAATATGGCATGGTAACCGCAAGTTTTTGAAGCTGTTTTGTTATGATAACTGCTGTTTAACGCCGCAGTACGCGTTCCGAATGTTATCACAAGAATGCTGAGTTGTGGGCAAAAGTCGTGCCCCAAGGTCACCTCACGTTTAGCGGGTGAGTGCGCTATCCGTTACACCACGGCCGCTTTTACCCTCTCAGCTTAACGGCTTATGCCGTAACCTTACAGCACTCACACGTTTAACTTGGTGAATTTAAGTTGAGAAAAACGACACTAAAGGCTCAGAGTAATTTTACTAGACATGTTTACCTTCCCCACGGTGAGATGTACCGCTAGTGGGTTGACGGTGACCTGACCAATCGGGAGTCTCGCACAGCTCCCGGGGTATAGCTTATAAGGCTTATAGGCAGACGGGTTTCACGGTGAGGATTCCACACGAGATTTTCAGATCAGTGAAGGCGGAGGAGCGTTCAACACATCAGCCAAACGAGTAGATTAGACCCAGAGACTCTACTGCTGGCTGCCCGTCAACTCAGTAACTAGAACTTTCAACCCAAGCGTTTGAGTCATAATTACGTCATCGAGGAGGGTATTGTTCCGTGATCATTTTGAAATTGCTCGTGGAAGGATTCTTGAAAGATCGAGGTTGGGGTTCAGCTGAAAATCACTTTTCTGACTACATTATCCAAATGTTTTGATCTCAGTGATAAGACTTGGACTGGATATTTTCAAACCGCTTGATAGAAATCTACTATTTTATCTGATAGATCTTGTTATCTGAAGGGGAGACCTTTTTTCCTCATGAAAAGAAGAAAAGAAGTGAAGAATGAAGAACGCTATGGACAAAAGTTTACAATGGAACCCCCTTCCGCCAAACGGAAGTGGAAGGCACAACTTTGTCGAACAGAGACCTTCGTATGCGATGAAGAATGAAGAGGAATTGGGAACGGATGCGGTTACTCCTCCGTCAAAGGAACCGTTCTTTTCCGAAGCATATGTCTTCACTACGGTGGCCTAAAAGGGGCTGAATTCGATAAAAATCAACATACAGCTTTTTATTCATCGTGAACCAAGAGAGTGTTGGAGAATCGCAAGATTCGCGCTCCTTTATTTATTCAAATCACTGCAATAGTCTCAGTTTTAACTTGAAAGTATGTATATATGGCACGAGTAGGTTTCTCACTGATTTGGGCCGTAAACACACCTTTCATTAGGCTTACTCCAATCGCGCGTTCACGCTGCCACAGCTTTTCTGACTATTTGCTCCTCCAAATACAGATCCCCTTTTTCAAGCAAGCCGAATTCGACCCCTTCTTCAAGGGGTCCTTAATGAATGCTTCCCGGTAAGACCATGGTCATTCAAGAACGCACGGAAGTAAGATTGATGGGTAGTGGCAGCGCGAGCGCGGGAGAGTAGGAAATGCGAGGCTATTCCACAGGTGCTCGCAGACAAGTTGCTCTTCTCGCTAGCAGTTGGCACGATAAATCCCCAAGACGACTAGGATCAATACTCCTGGCAGGATAGAATTCCGCGACCCTGGGCAGGCGCTGCATAGCGGTTTCCCCGAGGAAGGTGCCCTTATAAGGGCCCTATCAAGCCACAACTTTACGTCCCAAACGCCCGCCACGCCCGCCCGCCCACAAATGGACGACCGTTCCTGACGCTCGTATTCATTCATTTGCTAAGCAAATTATGAAGCGAAGGGATTGGTATGAAGCGGCCGTGATGCTGCATGCATATGGGTACATATGCAGCCGTATCTTCGGTAGCGGTGATTGGCAAGATGCCTACGGGAAACTCGTCCGAAATCGATTTTCAAGTCACTGAGAACGGAGGCTTTTTCTTCGCAGGATTTGACCGTTTCACTCCGTTCTTTCGCCATTTCCCCACTATACAGCGCCCTACTAGCATTTTAGGCTAAGTAGGAAACCATCGTGCCAACTGCCATTAAGCGTGGCTGGCCGCGCGGCAGAGCGGGCGGAATCCCGAGCGGCATCCTGATAACACTACACTTCAGCCTCATTTCTGTGCACTTCTGAGCGAGAAAAGTGGCACGCTACTACAGCAGCGGACTCACTCAACCCGCACATGACAAGGACCAGGAGCTACAGGTGTAAGCAGAGTTTGTCTTCAAAGCCTCCTCATCCATCAGATACCCTCCATTTGCCGGAGATGAGATGGGCATGGCTGCGGACTCGGATTGAACATGGCGTAGGCTGGTTTGCAGTTGTATGTTTCCTCTTGGGGAAACTGTCGTCATGCTTAGTTCTAAGATTAGACATGGGCATGATCGCTCCGACACGAAACTGTCCAACCAAAAGTCGCCGTCACCCTGGATGAAGGGGCAGCCACTCCCACTTCACTGCCGCGATATGGAGTGTGGTGCGCAACATCAAACGGGGCACTGCAAGTAAAACTGTTGCAATGTGTGAACACTCTCTTTGATTTTTTTCCTTTTTTACCGAATACCAAATACATGCAAGATCAACTCAAATCAATTTCAACCTTTCTATTGAAATTACTTAACAATAGTATCTTATCATTGTTTGTGCAGAGTTCCGTTATCCAATCTCTAGCTGCTTCTATGATTATTTAACCTTCACTCCTTGCTTCTGTTATCTAACCTGTTGGATACTTTCATACGCAATCAAGTTTTTTTTTGGCAGTACAAGTTAATATCAATTTCTAGCGTCCCGAGCGGTGCCCGCTCGTAGCATTGAGATCGCCAAGCGGACCTATAGTCATGATCCCTGCGAACGATAGGGCGTGTGACGGGGCGTGGGTTGGATCGCAGCCAGTGCGGCCCTTCCCGCCAATCGTTGGGAGAGAATGACATCATTGATGGAAAGGCCGATTTGGCAGCGCTCTAATCCCCGTGACACGTCCTATCGTTTGCGGGGATCATACCTGTATGTAGTGGGGACTTCTCTGAATGTTCCACGGTGTGAGAGTAAACAATGAAATCTCAAAAAGGGAAGCAACAGGCAATTCCTTTTAGCGAAGAAAGGTCGTCGATACTCACACGAGGTTTGTCAAAGAGGGAAGAAGGATGAGTGTCAAAGACCATCGTAATCATTTCGATGTCACATGTCACCACAAGAAATTCTTGGCCTAATTTCTGTGGATCACTGTGGAAAGCCGATTTTATGAAAAAATATCTTTTGAGTCGAAATTTCCTGCTTCCTATCTTCATTGGGAATCACGACCAGATTGTCCATGAGAAGAGATCTTTCTCTAAGAGATGGACTTGAGGTCATTTCAGATTTTATCGAAATGCTGTGAATTGATCCAAAAACACATACACTATTCAACATTGTCAAATACCAATGCTCGTTTGAAATATATTGCTTGTTTGGAATATAAAGGCGACAGATCTCACATGAACTCCTGGTCGTTGATTTCATCGAAAAAGTGAAAAATCTAACCTTTTCATAAAAAACTGTAAAGCATAATGTAAAAATATCTTCAGAATTTCATTCCTGTCAAAGAGCTGCACTTTTACAGGCCTTCAATACGTCGACACTGGTGTTTGAGAATGTGGAGTGGTAACTCCTATTGGTGCGGCATGACTGAATGACCATTTACATCAGTTTAACGAACTTTATAAGCATAGGCTGTTTCATAGGCTGATGTTGCACTATCCACTATAGGGAATTAGGCAGCGTCCTGATTCGTGGTAATGGGCGCCAAAACGCACAGCGCTCCAGGGCATCCGGGCGATTCTACCGTCGGCAAGTCGGGCGATGGTAGAATCGCCCGGGGTGTGCCGCGCAGCGACGCACACGCCGCGCAGCGTCGCGCGCGGCAATCCCGGAGTTGCATTACCGTACTCCCGAGTTGTCATTGGAGCAACGGCCACAGCAAGCTGTGCCTCTTTCAAATTGTTAAAGGGATCGTCGACCCTTTAACAATTTGAACGCCACGCAACAAAACTCGTACGCGGCGGCCGCCACGCCGCCTCGCTCCGCCCACCGGCGCGACGACCCGACGATAGAATCACCACACACCCGCGCTCCAGTGCACGAGAAAGCAATCATCGGCTATCGATCGGCGCCGGCCGCTACTGCTCTGAGAGACTGCAGGGGAAGTAAACGTTGCTTGACCACACAATCTGGTACCCTGCTATTTCTCTATGCTCTCTCTCGAAACACTAGCAGCAGGGCACAGCGTTCGATGGGGATTCCCTATGGGGGGGGTCGTATTTGGCCGCCAAAAGGGGGGGTCGTATTTGGGCTGGGAAAAATTTATTTTTATAGTTGATTTTTCTCGCTTTGCGGACGTTTTGGAGGGGGGGTCGTATTTGGTCGTTGTTGGGAGGGGGGGTCGTATTTCTGGCTAGGAGTTACGTGGTGAGTTTTATGAATTTTCTGTGTTATAGGTACTATGTACGCCCGTACGATGTACGTCGCATGCTTACTACATACCCCCTCGACAACTTTTTCGCCGAGTATAAACCACAACCACAGTCAGCCAATCCAGTGTCATTCATGAAAAAGTCGTCGAGCGGGGGGTATGTAGTAAGCATGCGACGTACATCGTACGAGCATGGGGGGGGGTCGTAAAAGCTCGACCAAAATCCCCATCGAATGCTGTGCCCTGACTAGCAGCCGAAGCCGATCGATACCCGTGGCGATCCGTAACCGGGCTGTGTTGCTGTCAATTCCTCGATCAGAAACCGCTCGAGCGAATCAAACCTTTTATCAGTCTGAGACCGTACGAAAGTCGTGTGAGAGTATGATTACACTGACTTCTACAGACATCGCTTGCCCCCAAGAAATCATTGTATAAACAAAAATCGAGGGTTGTGTTGCCGGCTGTAGCGCTATCACAATGGTGGCGCGATGTAATGCGTCGACGCGCGTCATCGCAGCTGTGGCAGCCTTTCAGTTGCGCGTACGACGCAATTGCTAGCGCGACGCAGCTGATCGTAGGAAAAATCGCATCGCGCGAGCGATCGAGTCCTACGCGCGGCCGAAATCCTGCCGTGGCAAAGTCTGAGCGCTGGCTTTTCTGCTTTCACCAGTTCCTTCCGCTAGTGTTTGTTGAGTAACAGTCTTGAACTGGTAAAACCTATAGAATCTTGTTAAACTGTGGGATGGTACAATTGAGCCACTTGGTTGCAGAAAAATTATAGGGATCACAAGATGGCCTGGGCAAGTTATCGTTAGTTTCATTTGGTGCCCCCATTATGTTGAACCATGCCGGAAAATGGTGTACGGTCGAACCCGTGCCATTAAATTTGTGTTGAATTTGCTCAGCCCAGAAGATTCTCGCTCATTCTATCGTTGATCAATTGTTAGGCAGCGTTCAGACTTCGCGACGGCAGCGCTTCGGTCGCGCGTTCGACGCGATCGATGCAGTCGAAAGCATGCGCATCGCGTCGAACGCGCGACCGAAGCGCTGCCGTCGCGAAGTCTGAACGCGGCCTTAGGATGTGACATTATCTTACCTCTAAGTCTAGTTCGCTGCTGACGAAGGGGCGTGTCATACAGGATGAACCTCGCGCGGTGCCGACCGGTTCTGCACCAGTTGTTGGAGCCACCATGTGACGGACTGTATCACACCGCTCGTATTCCTCGTTTTCTACCAACTGTTGTCGAATACCCGCTTCAGCAACTGGCACGGGACAGGCACACTTAGCGTCATGACGACTTTTGGATAAAGGTGGGCTATACAACGATTCATTTAACCAGGCGTCGTATGTAAAAGTGCAATCATACTCTCATCACGAGTTTAGTAGCCTGCCTGAGGACGATCAAAGGCGGTTGGATCGCGCAGATTCGACCTGGGATTTGACCGCACGCATGCTAGCTGGCCACTTGCCACTTACCAACTGCGGCCTCAAATTGTTAACATGCCCATAGATAAATCTTCTACTGTAAGTGTTTACATCGTATGCCGTTCAAGTATAAATAAGAAAAATAGTTTATTTCGTGGAATGATTTCGAAAAAATCCAATACATGTGGTTCGGCAAAGGTACTCAGACATCGAGACTGGACGAGATTGACGATTCAGCAATTTAGATCTATAGCAAGGCACCCGTTAATATTTCTGGTGAGCATATATCGACATCCTGCTCGGATTGCTGGCTTAACTACTGAAGGACACATTTTTGGATTACAGTATCCATCTAGGCAGTTCGTATCTGGGGGACACTGGAGTTTTGTGCATCCTGCAAACAAACGTAACGAATTCATAGTACATGTCGGCAACTGTGATGATAATGAACGAGGTTGAAAGAATGCTCACGGTCAACTCGATATTGCTGGCATTGAGTTGATAAGATGCAGCTAGTGTCTGTAGCACTGGCCTGCACGTAGCCTTGATTGCACGCACAAGTTGGTATGCATGGCAAACTAGAAAGAGCCAGTTGCGGAGGAGCACAGTATTGGAACAGGCAAAAAAACGAAAGCAAGGGGAGCAAAAATATTGTTGATCCACAAGCACATAGCTGGATGACGGACAGCGTTCAAGCCTCGCGAGGCGCGTCGACACGCTGTGACACGCGTCGACGCGCTAAAATTGCAACAGCAGCTTCGGTGGTACAGACGGGAATGCAGTCGCAGACAGGAATCGATCGGTGTCGGCCATTTGCTTGTTGAGAAAGTATGCGGAACAGCAGGGTGCTGCATAATCACATAGTATAGTTTCGATCACCAGTAGCCGCTGATGCTTCGAGAGAGTGTGGAAGGGGAGGGGGGGGGGGAGTACTCGATTGTATGAGGGGCAGCTCCTGCTCTCTTGTTATCCCATGCTCTGTCAAAACACAAGCGGCCGGCGCCGATTGATTCCTGCCTGCGGCTACATCGCGTCTGCAGGAGGGGAGTGCTGCTGCAATTGTAGCGCGTCGACGCACATTACAGCGCGTCGACGCGTGTCATCGCAAAGTCTGAACGCTGCGTTATGTAGGTGCTAGATAGGCGGCACGTGATCCACCATACCTCTCCATGCCCCTCACATGCCCTGTCCCTTGCAAAGATAATGGCTGTAAAGATATTAGGGTAGTGGTACGACAAGCGGTGCAAGCGATAGCTATTACTGTACGAAAAACAGTAGAAGCAAAAAGTTTTTGTAAAAAAGATCATGCTGCATGAACGCTTGGAGAAAGTGCGGCTGATTTTCAAGTGACCGCGGGGAGGGGGATGGGCGGATTCAGTAAATAGTAGATATTTACCTGCAACGGGAGCTGTTCTCAGTACAGGTGTTAGGACAAGGCGAAGCGCATCCAGTGTAATAGGAATTTGCAGGACAAGTGACAGGTGGGAGATTATCAGCTTGTCTGAATGGTCTGCACACGCCTGAAATAGGTCAGGTATAAAAAACAATTGATAAAATAAAAGAGTAGCAAGTACATATGCAGGTTTGCTAGCTGCTGATAAAGGGGAGTGTCACGCGAGATGGACCAAATCCGTTTTTCATCTATTGTTGCAGCGAAGAACAAGCGACCACGCTGTATCATGTCGTTCGTAGCAGTCGTTTTCCATCAATTGTTGCCGCTTACACGCTTCAATAAGTGGTAGAGACCGGGTTCGGCCGCGCCGAACACATTGCGCCTGACCACGCCCCTTCATTCGCAGCGAACACGACTGTAGAGAGCCGATCGTCAAAAGTAATTGTTGGCATATTAAGCAAGAGCAATCAACATGGAAAACTCCTTTGAAATAATACTTTTTTGCGTGATCATGATTGCTAAAACAACGATCCAAAAAGGACACTACATGTACACAACTATGCACGACAATAGTAACGATAGCGCCACATAGTAATTCAAAAGTTATTATGGTAAGTAATTACTCCACATATATTTCGGGATACAGTCGCAGGAAATGTTCAGAAGTTATCTAGGAAGGTATAGTAGAGTATACTCAGTTGTTACTGTTGTGATCACATATACCCGAAATCCCTGAGATCGGGTAGGCGTGGCCGCATGTTTCAACTTAACCTGAAGGTGTCTATGCTTCTGGTGAGATATTTTCTTGACACAATTGTTGTCGTGTCTCTGTCCAACACAGAACAAGATGACAGTTGTCCCAGACTGGAATATTCCACGAGTAACCAGTTCCGTGCCATGTTCAAATGCCACGCCTACTCTGGCTCAGGGATAAGGAGTGTATTTTCGTGCGCTTTGTCGCGCGTCTCTGCGGTCTGGCAAATAACTACGCCTCATACCCCGCTGAGTATTGTTTTTCGTAGCAACTGTACACCAAACCCAAACCTCATTATATTGCATTATTAACAAAAAAACAGTATTACAGAGAATGACCTGTATTCAAATCGCATTCAGTTCCTTGAGGGCAGAGAACACCTTGACATCGATCGATCGCACTCGGTGTAGGTCGAAATGAGCGGCATATCCCTAACAATAACCTGGATACTGTGGTGTTGTAATAAACTTTGGTAGTAGTTCCTGCGTCTTGAAAAATAGACGTACAACAAACATCATCAAATATTTGAGCACTTTTCACTGCATCTGAAGTTCAAGTTGTTCCAAAATCTCACCAGTATTTGAGTCGCACTTCGTCCCAAGAGGGCAGAGCACTCCATCGCATGGATCCGATGCCACAGGAGGTGGAAGTCGAAACTGTCTGCATATACCTGTAACTTACTAATATCCATGACGCGTTACTATGGGATTGTGAGTAATAGCAGTCAAAATTCGAGCATGAAACAAACTTTAAGTGCTATCGCTCTATCACTTCATGGCTTCAGAAGATTTCACAATTTCTCACTTGATGGCTTGGCACGACAATGGGAGGGTAAGAGCGGCCCCGTTGGCGTGATGGAAAGCGCAATGTACCGCCAGAGGTGCGGATTTGTGTCTCGCTTGTGGTCGGTCTTTGCTCACCACTCAGCATTCTTTTGACGGCCCTTTTAGTATTTTTTGTATATTCCCGTCTTTTGATTTCATTTGCAGTGCTTAGTATTCGATAGGGCCCGCTGGCACAATTAAGCATACTCGAAAAATTTGCCTGGAGGAGAACGTGCGCCCTATACATTGGTGCCGCCTTAAAGGCACATTCCGCGATAAAATAAGGCTATGACCTCTCAAATGTGTCGGACGATCCGGAAGGCGATTTTTGAGGCTGCGCTACTTTCAAAATGTGAAAAACGGCAAGAACTCCGCTAGAAGCTGACTAATTAGGCCCATGGACACCCCTTAGGCCCATGCCGACCCTCACCGGCTGCTAGCTACTAGCTAGTAGCCACTATGTTATCTTTCTCTATAACATTTCGGACTGCTTTTTCTGCTGCTTTTCTCCGCTAATCAGATACTTAGCACTTTTTTGTGCCTATTTGAGTTCCGTTTCCCGCAATTTGCGGTCGCGAACTGTGCCTTTAACCCAAAAACTGGGTGCATCAAATGCGACGTAGAAAAAGGGAGGCGCAAGCAGCTTTTGAAAACATTGCCTACTGGCGCAGTTTGCCGACGGGGGGACATTTTGCACTTTCGTTGCTTCACTAGTTCTGGTTTACAAGTCTCACTCTGGTGAAACCTGTGAACTCTTGTGAAGCTGGAGCAAGCTCGTCAAGCCATCATGGTAAAACCTGTCAACTCGAGAAGAGGCTGTCTAGATGGGTCGACACGTCGATGGGAAGTCGTTAAAGTGCAAAATGCCCCCCCCCTCCCGTCGCCAAACAGCGCCTTGCCTGGTTATATGAAGACAGTGTGAAAATTTTCCCGAAATTAGTGAGTTATAAGCAGCAAGCCATGGTCAACCATCTAACAGTTACCAGTGAAGTTCGTTTGAAATATTGAAATAATGACCCAAGCGAACGGAGCGATTTGACCAACCTGTGTTGGAATCACATTGCATTCCTAGAGGACAGCCCACCACTTGACATTCGCCAGATGGGGGCGTTCGGAATGGCCGACAAATCCCTGTATATATTTTCTATGAAAAGTTGCTCTCGGAGGGCAGAGAAAATTTCCCCTTAACCCCTCCCACCCTAATCCTCTAATGGAAAAAATCGTATCTCACCTGTATTCGAATCGCATTGAGTTCCTTGAGGGCATAGTTGCGTTGCACATAAACCTATCTGGCGACGGCTTATGTTGTGCCTTTTCCTCTTGAAGGTAGCTAGCGTGTTGGGTTCTCTGAACTCAGATTGCTTTTTAAACAGGACGTTAAAGCAGACTTGCCTATTACAATTTGGAAAATTCCTGCTGTTAAGTGCCGAGCTTTTGCTTTCGACGGCGTTTCTAGGGAACTCGGCTGCATTCCTCCCCAGCTTCGATAGTTCCAATGGAGCTACTATTCAATAAAAAACGTACACAGTAACACAGTAAGTAGATAAAAGGAAGTGAGCAAGAAATCTTCGAAATGCATCAGAATTCAAAAAAGGGAAAATTTCATGTGCAGCTCATCGTTTTTTTTTATATTTCGCGAGCCCATTTTATAATCTCTTTGTAGCAGGTACTAACTATACTAGGATTGGGTAAATAAAGAAAAAGTAAAGTAAATGGTAGAGTATGTGGAGTAGAGAAAGTCATTTCGCACTTGTTGATAACAGGAAAAGTAGTGTGTTACCTAAATTTCCGGCACGTTCCAGTGTTGTTGTCACACATATAGCCTGTTGGACAGGTGACTCCAACGCACAGTGATGTGGTCGGCTGGAATTGTTCTATTTTAGTACATTCAGGATAGAGAGGACCGAAATACGGGCAGAGTTCGTGGTAGTGGCATGGAAGGAGGGCTTGGGGCCGGTCATAGGCGACTGAGGAAGTTCCACTGACTCCTATGGCCGGATGCCTTAGTTCCTCCTTATTGCTCCTTCCACATCCATAGGACCACCTTTGCCTGGAACCTGCCCACAAACCTGATCGTAATTCCCAGGAAATCGAAAAGCGCGGCATATTCCTGAAAAAAGAACGGACCAAAAGCTGAAAAAGGCTAAGAATACTTTGCAAGACTTACCGGTATTCGAGTCACACATCGTGCCTAGAGAACAAGTACCGCAAGACAATTGTGGTGGATTTGAGAAAGCTTGACGAAACGGACGACATATACCCGTATTGGTATCACATTGAAGACCACTAGTACATGGTGGACAAGAAACTGATGCTGCTTCCCCTATCAGTCCCACCTGAAATAGGGTACTTTCATGCACTACTCACAATCATCCCCTGGTTTGGTTGAGTTGTGTGAACACTGGGTAGTCGAAAGGATTCTAAAGTCACTACTGGTGCTGCAGGAAGCAGTACTGGAGGGCATACTACAGTGTGGCATACTACAGTCTGATAGCACCTCTTCAGCGTCTAGCTGTTGGCCGAGTCAAGCGGCATGAAACTAGTCAGCTGATTCCTTAGGATGAGCTGTATGATCCTCCAAGAGACAGTGAAGCTTGGATTTCATACTAGCCTTGTTTATCGCTGCAAGGCAGACTCGGAGGTGGAGTCTGTAGGAGTCATTGGAAAAAGGAAGGTGTCACTCAAGCAACTTACAATCGTCTTCGGGGCACTTGATTAGGCGGCCAAAGGATCGCGACGCGGCTGCGGTGCATTACGACCGCGGTGATGCAGCTGTTTTCGGCTTGGTTCAGCCATTTTCTCCCCTATTACCTGTTTTTGGTTGCTTTTCTTGAGGTAAGTTGTACCCTGTCTCCAGTAGGTGAGTTATGATTGAGTTTCTCCTATTTTTGCGAGCAAAAAAAAAACAATGAAATAAACAATTTAGCAAATACCTGAAAAATCGCAAAAACACTTCATTACAGAAACAAAAAAAGAATCTACGTCGTAATAATTTAATAAAGGCAATGACACAACTTACCTTGGAAAAAAAGGAAATACAGTGAAAATTAGGGAGAAAATGGCTAAACCAGGCTGGAAACAGTTGATCGCCGCGGTCGTGACGAGCCGCAGCCGCGTCGCGACCCTTTGGCCGCCTATTCAACTGCCCGAATGACGACTGCAAACCTTTACTTTGCAACTTGGGCCGCAAAGCTGGTACCATGTTGTCCATGACGGGCAGCCCTACCCTATCCGCGCAATTTTTTTACATTTTCATCGGTCATCGCTGACCGTTTCTTTGATGGGATCTTATGTCAGTCACAGCTTCTTTCTACTTACCTCATGCGATTGATCATAGTGGATGTATATAAGTTCGTATGGGTAGGTAATGACAACTTTCCTAAGATAACTTGGAACGTATCAACCACGGGGAACAAAAGGGACAAAAGGGTTATGAATGCCACCCAAACTAAGGAAAGACAAAAGAGAGAAGACGCTATTCACATCACTAACCTAATATAAAACTCAAACAAAAGTGTAGCTGTTAACTTACAAGGAACAGGCTCAGCATTGCAATATGATTTCCTTCGCCGTTGCCTGCTAGGAGGACGAGTGTGCCACTGTTTGTCCTTGCGAGTGAACTCGAAGCTAGTTGGATTGACTCACTCTCGTGCACTCAGTTTTGAGATGAACAAGTTCTTCTATTTATTTACACTGTCATTTTCTGAAAAGAAAATAGCCAAGGACCAGAACACGTACTGGCTTGGGGTGCAATTAAGAATGAGGCCAAATTAAAATTCGGGTACAGCGGCAAGTTTGGCTAAGTTTTGGAACGTTATTTGTAGGCAAACAAAGCTCTCGAACGCGCAAATGCAACTGTTTGATGTTGTGTTCCGCGCGCAGATCACATAGACACCAGAGAGGCTGGCTAAAAGTGCGAGTTACTATTTGCCCCGAGCTCGTAGTAATGTCGAGGTGACTTGGCAACCGAAGATCATCTCGTCTAGCTAAGACTTTCCCCATTCACTTCTGTGAAAGGGATTTTATAAATATGCTCTCTTTGTCTCATGGCAAGGACCAGATCCACGGAGGTGAGAATACAGTTCGTCTTCAATCAACAACAGATCGCAAGAGAGGAATAAAGGATTTTCTTCAAATACAGTTTCCCTCAGACAGCCGTAAGCGGTATTTATAACAAAAGTATATGTGCTAGTTGGCTACCACTGAAGGAAAAACATGTACTCATTAGCAGAAGGAGCCTCTGATCCCGGAATTTCGCCAGTGTTCATGCTAGTCACCTTGTTTTCTCTCTCTAGTTCGAAACGACCCGTTTATAGGTACAACACTGCTTAGAACGTCGCAAATATCATCATTTTTTGAGGTTCTCCTTTTCTCTATATTATCCAATCTGAGATGTTCGAAAACCAATCAACGAATCAAGATATGCCAGAAGAACCTGTAAGAAAGGAGCTGCTGATAATAATTTTGCTTATAACTTTTCGGCGAAGCGGCTGTTTTTGCCAATTTTGCGCGAACCCCATCACACACATTTTCTGCACACAATAGGCCCCATCACATGTCTCCCGCCCACCGGATGACTCCGCCCGTTTTTGTCGTGACATAAATTACATGTATTTTACACACGTTATAGACAATATCTAGATGTTATAGTGATCTTTCGCACTTTTCATCTATAACATACAAATTCTCTTGAATACACTTGACTCCGCCCCGACGACTCCGCCCACTTAATAATGGATTCACTAAAAATTTCGTCGCTTTATAACTTTATTCACCGGCATTCGATTTTAATGATCTGAGTTGGAAACTTTCTGCTCTGCGGCTTTGCGGCATAAATGCGCCTTTTCCTCCAGAAAATAGATACAAAGTGACGCCATCAAATGATCCCCAGTGGACAATGAAATGCAATTGAGCGAAAATAGCAGCAGGATAATTGAAATTTCTAAGCGATCTCATCTGCAAAGATTGCATAGGGCTATTAGAATGAACTGTCCACCTTTTTCGAGAGGACGCCAAGCATTCGAATAACACTTTCGCATTGCTTCTCAGGTAACTAATTTATGAATGAGTATCAAATTTGTGGAAGTCTACTGTGTGATAATATTGGCCAAGAAAACTGTCCTACTGGATGATGTCGGATTCAAAGTCGTACGTTAGGGACAGACCACGTCGTAGGTTGGTACCCAGAAGGAGGGGGGAGGGGATGTGCATTTGGTCTGACAATGAGAAATTTTTTTAAAGTCCATTTTTTTTTGCTTCACGTGTGCTATAAGGGGAGGAGTCGTATTCGCTTCGTTGTTCAGAGGGGGGGGGGTATTATTCGGAAATTTCCCCACCGGCAGGATGCGCCCTGGTTGGGGATCTTCATTGACCAGGGTCGTATTTGTTCGACGAAGGGAGGGTGAGTGAGGGGAGGGGGGAGGACGTTGTTGCCCTTGTGGAAAACGAACTGTATGTTAGGTGTTGGTAACTTTACACGGTCCTTCCCGTTACACGTGTGTTTCATATTTGCACTTCCCCGCTCAATGGCCATTTTTTGGAATAAGGCTGAGGAAGAAAGTGGTAGGAAGTGGGGAGGATCGAGGAAGATATTAGGTAGCATGGATTGGGACGAGGGTCGAACCGGAGGAGGGAAATTTCAGAGCAGGGTCGTATTTTACGAAATTTCTCCCCAGTAGCCGGGCCTGGTCTGGTTGGTGGGCCTCATTTCATGTCAATCAGTGGGCATTGTACACTGTTTAGATATTAAAATTGGATTTATTCAATGAACGCTCCAGGCGAACTTGTTTTTCCAGCAGGGTTTGAAATTATTCCTCGTCATCACTTCGATAACGAACACTGAGTAGTGTTATCAAATAGCAAGTGACCCTCAGATAGTAGTGTCCACTGTCTGCCTCATGCTAACCGTCGCTGTTCACTTCTTATTGGGATGCTTTCTAGCTTCAGCTAAATATCAGGTATGTTTTACTGCTTGACTATCATAGGAAACACCTGCCCAGAGTTCACTTTTGAAAGTGTCCGCTGCTTATTCACAGATACATGTTATTACTGGCATCTTTCATTTGATAACTATTATTTATTTTATTTCTTCCTTCTCTTTATACTAAAAAAAATCCTTCGGATTATTCCTTTAGTCATTTCAAGTAGTGCTTTTACCAATCAACCTTTCAAGCAAGACCTGTAACTTAAGCCTTATTTCCTATTTACCAACTTTGCAGCTATTTTACCCTATGAACAGTGGAGCAGCAGGGACATGAATCCTTTTGTATATCGTCTTTCTAGTGTTGCATCGTTCCACTTCTTATCAGAGAATGTACTGAAAGGTTAATCCTGCAATAACTCGTGGCCGCAATGGTGCACGAATATGAGCATGAAGTTGTCAGTTTGCCTGTTATGTGACTATCCAATTAGCAGTCATGTAATTGAGGAAACTGGCATAAAGATAAAGAACAGGGGTAAGGTCTCCGTGGTTTATCGTCCCTTTTTGGAATGTGGCACGCATTATACTTCCGTTCAGAATCGTAGTGGCTTATTGAATACAATGGCCATAACGTCGGGTGGCCAGCCATGTACAAGTCAGTGTTTTATCCTCCCAGACGAATCTGGTACCAACTCACCGTCCCCGAAAAGTAGAAGGTTTGGTTGACCTAGGAGGGAGCTGATCCGGAATTTGAACTTTAAAACGCCCACATGGTAAGATCTTCCAAGGGAGGTCTTTCACGTAGTGAAGCTCATTTGTAAAGCGGATTTTGCATGTTGTAGACAGGGCACTTGCTGGCTGAGGAAATTTCTCGCAAACTACGACTCCCCACCCAAATTCCTCTTTTGAACACTCCACTTCCAACCCTACATACCTGCTATTTTGCTGACCTTCACCAGCATTTCATCCACCCTACATAGCTCACTGTCCCGGAGGTTGACGGAATTGCAATGGTTTGTATGAGGTTAAGGGCAAAATAAACCATCGCTGTTTTGTAGAAGTTTTCCTACCTATGTCTACTTCTCCTTCTAATTCTACCTTTTTCTCAATTCTCTGAACATTTTCCACTTTTAATTCAGGGAATTGTTGAAGGCTGTCTTGCGGGAGAGTCGCTTCCAAAACGACTGCTGAACAGCAAAAAAATTCTCGCCCGCGGAAAAACCTTTCTTGACGCCAGCTCCGACCATCCTCCCTCTCGAAGCTACCCTAGCAGCAAATACACCTCAATTACCCCCCCCCCCTCACTCGGGTTACCCAACGATGTGGATAAAGCGTATGAAACATGAAAAGTCAACTAGCAAACACTTTTTTCTAGGCCATGTATGACCCTCCGCCCTCCACCCAAATATGACCCTAAGTAGGATTCCCAGCTTACGGCGTGCCCTGGTTAAAAGCAAGGTCCACAATCAGGTATAGAAGTTGAAAATATGGCGTCGGGAGGTTAGTGTGGTCCGCGACGACAACCTTGTACCGGTTTCGCGGCAAAAAATTGTAAGGGAGGGGCGCTACAGCGCGTTATAGGTTCAGTGACACCTCTTGGAATATTTTTCTCCAGTGATTCCGCCTCCGGGATTGCCTGCGAAAAAACGAAGCTGCAGGACAAAAGAGCATGTAAATCGTCACCTGTACAGTCGTAGAGTTCTATCGGAGAATAAGCTGTGCAGATGAGGGTTGAAGATGAACTTAAAGGCAGTTGGCACGATGGTTTCCTACTTAGCCTAAAATGCTAGTAGGGCGCTGTATAGTGGGGAAATGGCGAAAGAACGGAGTGAAACGGTCAAAATCCGGCGAAGAAAAAGCCTCCGTTCTCAGTGACTTGTAAATCGATTTCGGACGAGTTTCCCGTACGCATCTTGCCAATCACCGCTACCGAAGATACGGCTGCATATGTGTACCCATATATGCATGCAGCATCACCGCCGCTTCATACCAATCCCTTTGCTTCATAATTTGCTCAGCAAATGAATGAATACGAGCGTCAGAAACGGTCGTCCGTTTGTGGGCGGGCGGGCAAGGAAGGCGTTTGGGACGTAAAGTTGTTGCTCAATAGGGCGTTATAGAGGTACCCTCCTTGGAAAAGGCTTCACGCAGCGCCTGTCCGAGGTCACGGAATTCTGTTAAGCCAGTTGTACAAATCCTACACCTGTATAGCGATTTATCGTGCCAACTTCCTTTAAGTGAGCACTACAAACTGGGTTTGGAACGGGATTCTATCGAGGGCGAAAGGCGTGTTTTTTTTTCTGCCCTTTTCTTTAATATCGAGTTACTCAGAACCTTGTCGTGTATACAAACCCCCAACCCACTATCTGTGATGGCGAATAATCGCGGGCTCTGTTTAAAGACAGCTCCCGCGATAAAAGTGGCAAGGATAATTGCTGATCAATTATGAAACAGTAGCTGATAAGTAATTCCTCAATGGGGAAAAAAGCAACAAGAGCCCTCAAGAACACCACAAACGAAATTGCTCCTTAAAGGCACATTCCGCGATAAAATAAGGCTATGACCTCTCAAATGTGTCGGACGATCCGGAAGGCGATTTTTGAGGCTGCGCTACTTTCAAAATGTGAAAAACGGCAAGAACTCCGCTAGAAGCTGACTAATTAGGCCCATGGACACCCCTTAGGCCCATGCCGACCCTCACCGGCTGCTAGCTACTAGCTAGTAGCCACTATGTTATCTTTCTCTATAACATTTCGGACTGCTTTTTCTGCTGCTTTTCTCCGCTAATCAGATACTTAGCACTTTTTTGTGCCTATTTGAGTTCCGTTTCCCGCAATTTGCGGTCGCGAACTGTGCCTTTAAGTTACACCGCCCTGCAAGCCGTGGGCAACCCCTGCAATGAAAAGAATACGAAAAACAATAAAAACTCGGAAGAAAAACTCCTGAAAGGCAAAAAAAAACTTTCAAAGACACGGCGTCCGAATTTGGGTTACGGTAGCGAGCGGCTTTTAGTGCATGTTGCTAGTCGAGCTTTTGCACCACAAAAATTGCATCACTCGTGATTTCTATGCGTTTTACCTTACGAGATGGTTGCATTTGACTGTATGTGCTCTCAATGAATGAAATGTGATAAAGGAGAGCAGAGTTATCTAAGGGCACCATCGCGGTCTGCAAAAATGACTTGCAATCCCGAGTATTGCCCGCCGTCCCAACAAAGAGCAACTGAGCGGCTCTCCGTCAGAGGGCAGCTAGCAAGTGAGGCGGTCCAACTGAGCGGGCGTTAGAACTAGAACTTTGAGCGGCTGTAGCTCGCTCCTCGCTCACTGTGGAGTCAGGGCACATCGTTGGTTGGGGAATCCCCAACAGGGGGGTCGTATTTGGCCGCCAGGAGAGGGGGGGTCGTAG